GGAGACGCCAAGCTTTGGGGTTCGCCGCTCTCCACACGGGATGTCCCCATGGGATGTCCTCCTGTGGGCTGGGGACCTGGCCAGTGGCACAACTGGGGAGGCTCCTTGATCCTGCAGCTGGGGTCGGTGTTAGTGGGAAGAGCCGACGGTGGCTTTTCCATCAGCAACGTGGAAAAGCCATCGCCGCTGCAAGCACAGGTTTGAAAGTGTGTGGCCGGGGCTTCAGCTGCACACGCAATCACTGTTGGGGGTCCCTTGTCTCTTGAATCTTGAGTTCCAAAGTGCATGGCTTTAAAAAGCTCCCCAAGGGCTTTTTCCCCAGAACTCTTGAGAAAAAGTTGCTTGGAGAGTAAATTTGGAGCCACACCCAGCTGCAATGGAGTTGTGCACCAGCACGTATGGCAACAGGACAGGCCCCTCTTGGCCTCAGGATAGGTGCCTAGCTAATGGTGAGTTCCTTTCTCTTCCCTCTTCAACGGGAGGCAACATTCCCATTTTTGAAGAAGGGAAAACTGCCCTGGCTGTGCTCATCTCTAGCCTGCGTGCTGGGTGCTGTTCTGGCTCCTTCTACAAAGGAGTCAACTGAGGCACAGAGAGTCTGAGAGTGACTTGCTCAAAGTCACACGGCTCACTGGTAGTAGAGACAGGATTTGATCCCAGCCTGGCTTCAGGAGCTGTGATCCTCCACTGTCTTGTGTTGTGTATGTGCTTGTGCGGCCCTGCCTGTGCTTGTCACTCTCTGCTGCTGGGGACGAGGGCCACCTGAGCCTGGTGGGGCTGTTGTCCTTGGGTTTTCCTTATGCAAAGACTTTCCCCTGGATTCATAGAATATAATTGTGATGCAGGGTTTGGAAGATTCCTGAACAAACACTTGTAAGTGTATTATGTGCCAGACATTGTTCTGCTTTACTGGTATTAATTCATTCAATCTTTAAATCAAGCCCATGTATTGGGTTATGTTATTTTGCCCATTTTATGGATTTTTCTTAACAAACCAGGCACAGGAATATAAAGTTCCTTACCCAAGATCATGTAGTAAATGATCGAGTATGGTTCACACTCAACCATGATGTTCTATAGCCACCTCCCTCTAATGAGACAGACATAGTCCTTCTTCTAGTGTAGCAGGAGGAAGCAGGTACTGAAAGGCATGAACAAGAGCGTTCTGGGTTGCAATAACAGCATTAACAATTTCTCAATATTACCTAATACTCAGACCATATTGAAATTTTTCTGATTATGTGTAAGATATCTTCTAGCACACGGTTTGTTTGAATCAGAAACCAAACATGGTCCACATAGTACATTTGACTGT